AAAAAAAAAAAAAAAAAAAAAAAAGAAATGCCTATATGTTTTAAGAGAAGCATGTTGAAGTATGTAGGAGTGAAGTGATGTGATATCTGGGGTGTGCTGTCTATTATTTTAGCAAAAGAACATGTGGAAAAATGTGTCAAATCTTGATAAATAGAATCTGGGTGATAATTACGTGGGGATTCATTGCACCGTTTTTTCTACTTTTATGTTTATGTTAAAATTTTCATGATAGCAATTTTTTTTTTTTTTTGGCGGTGCCGCATGGCATGAGGGATCTTAGTTCCCCAACCAGGGATCGAACCAGAGGCCCCTGCGGTGGAAGCGCAGAGTCTTAACCACTGGACTGCCAGGGAAGTCCCATAACAAATTTTTAATGAAAGACAATGACAGACAATGAGTTTAAATTGCATGGAATGATATTTAAGATAAGATTCATTTTAAAAAGCTGATTACAAATGAACATATATAGTATTGACTTTTTTGTTTATTTGATTTTCCTTTTTAAAATATATAAATGTGCCTGAGTAGCTAAAAGCCTGGCAGGCTGTAAACTGAAACATTCATGGCTCTTTTGGTAATGAAATTATGGAGAAAATATATATGCTGGTATGTAGCCTCTAAACTTTCTATAATCAACCTGCAGTACTTTTGCTAAAACAACAATTCATGATTCACACACTTCTGTGCTGTTATCTGCCGAATCTACGGCCAGGATGTTGCTGAAACCCTGAAATGCTCGTCTTCACTGGTCCCTTCCATGTTGAATGCAGGATCACAGGTGGGGCGTCAGGTCTCATCTCTGCAGCCCCTGAGACCCTCGGCTTTGACCCTGACATGCGTCCTCGGGTATCACTTGCAGGGGGGGAGGGGGAAGGCGGGGAGGATGGTGGTCCCTGCTTTAGGCAAAACCCTGGAAGACTTGAGGAAAGAATGCAGTGGAAGTTTGGTCATCTGACATCAAAGCCCTCATGAAAGAGCGCATTAAGGGCTGGCTATGCTTGGGCTTGTGTGACCCAACTTGTTCCCCTGGAATGGGGGTCTCTTTCGTTCCATCTCTCATCAAGCTCATGGCCCTCTTTGAACCAACAATCTAGTCTCCACCCCTCTCTGCTGATCCTGCTGTCCCAGAAGCTACTAATCTGGCCCCTCCCTGGCAGGCTGAAGCCTGGGACAAGGGGCTCTGTCCCAAACAGCACGTTGCCTCCAAGCATGAAGCCGGCACCTGTGGTCCATGGAGACCAGTGTCGTGCACAAGGCCAGGCTACAGCGAGGTAAATAGCTGGCCTTCCAGGGGCCAGGCCACGTGGCAGAGAGAGGGAGGTCAGGAACAGTCTCAAACAAGGTGGGTTGGAAGGAGGTTGGGAGGGGAGGTACAGAGAGGAATTCTTGATGTGAAGGGCAAATGGCTGCTTTTTGTCTGAGTCCCCACCATGGGTTGTAGATTTGTGGGAATATTCAAAGAAGGGGCTACAGACCAGCTTAAGGCAAATCCCATCCTTTTGAGGGATGTTGTGTATCTCTCAACACCCAAAACAATATTAATTTTCTGTAAAAAGTTAATACGATGGAACACTTAAGATTTGTACATTTCACTCCGTGTAAATTTTATCCCCTCCCCACAAAGTTAAGAAATTTTAACCCTAGGAAATGATTTCCCAGCTGAACTGTTTAGAGGTGAAATTTACTGAAGTCTGCAACTTACTTGGAAATGGAAAAAAAAATTGTGATGGAAGGATGGATGGATAAATACGTGATAAAGGAAATACAGTAAAATGTTATATGTAGGGTCCAGATGGTTGGTAATTGGATGGTCTCTTTAAAATTCTTTGAACTTGTTTGCCTGTTTGAGGATGGTCCCAATAAAATGTTGGGGAAGAGTTTACTAGATGTGGTGGGACATTCCAGAGCGGAGTGGTTCTGAGAACCCACAGCGATGGACTAGCGATTCCTCAGAATGTGCTGGCTCACTCACCACGAGAACAAATCAGAGTTTGGTCTTCCCACTTTCCTGTGCCCGCGGAGGAGCTACACGGAGGACGGAGGCAGGGTGGACCCGGGAAGGCGTCCTGTCGTGGGTGTTGGGAGCCCTGGTTCTACCAGGTGATCCGCAGGCCCCCCTCTGGCTCAGGCCCTGGTGGACAGGCCTCGATGGTTCTGTGTGCAAACCAGACAGGTGATTTGGGGAATTGACCGTCATCCTTTTTTAAAAAAATATTTATTTATTTGATTTACTTGGCTGTGCCAGGCCTTCGTTGCGGCCCGTGGGATCTTCGTTGCCGCGTGCGGGATCTTTTTAGTTGTGGCATGTGGGATGTAGTTCCCTGGCCAGGGATGGAACCCGGCCCCCTGCATTGGGAGCACGGAACCCTAACCACTGGACCACCCAGTCCCCGTCATGCTTTTTTCTTTTTACATCTTGTTCTTTCTCTCTTCCCAACCCTGTGCTTGGAGTCTCGCACCTTTCCCTCTGGATCCACAAAGTGCCTGGGTTTGGGCCAGTCCTCTGAATCTTCAGTGCCTCCCCCCAGCCCATCGGGAGCCCTGTGTTTCTAGAAGGAGGGTAATTGAGCCCAACGCAGAGCCAGGGCAAGCAGGCAGGGTCTCCGGAAGCGGCACAGCCCTCCTGGTCCCCTGCAGGCTCTCAGGAACCATCCCAACCTAATTTCTCCTAATACCCCAGGAGATGGGTGCCAGCCTAGGTGTCTTCCCCTGTATCTTACTGAGATGTAAATTGCCATAGATGCAATAATTTATGTTCTCCCCAGGACAGACGGCCATAAATCGGGAAGAGCAAGGCCCCGGCTGCCTGACATAAATCACGGAAGCGAAGCAAAGCGGTGTCGGGAGCAACCTCTCTGCTCTCCGGCTCTCCGGCAGGATGCTGGGAGCCGCACTGCCTTCCCTCTTCCTGGGTCCCCCATACCCAGGGCTGTGCTGCTTCGGGAATACAGGTTCTCAGCAGGGAGACCAGTGCTGAATAGCTATGGGCCTCAGGCCCAGCGGGGCCTTTGTCTGGGAGATACAGCCCGAAGCACGGTGGAGGCTGGTCTGCTGGCTTGAAAATATGAAGAGGGAATTATTCTTTTCTTTCTGAAGGGAGAGGGGCTCCCACACTGATCCCACAGGAGTGCTGGGGGTCTATCGCTGTTGCTTGCAGTAGAAAGAATAAAGCTCATGTGTTCTGTGGATGCACTGGTTTTGTTGGCTGCAGGAACACTTGGACAGTAAGGGCGTTTGCCGCTCTCCGCTTGTGTTAGGCTGTGCTGTGTCGAGCTAAAGACAGGAGGATTTAGTGGTAGTGATGCCCTGGAAGGAGACGACCAGCCAGTCTGGCTCTGTCACCTCCCAGTAACTGTGTGACATTGGCAAGTCAGCTACGCTCTTGTTGCTTCAGTTTCTTTATTTGTAAAAGCTGGACTAATAATACATCTCCTGGTTCACACTCCCCCTTGACCCGAATAAAGCGATAAATACTGTTTTTCTAATAGATGATAAAATACATAACGACCATCTAGGCTATGGTTATTGATAGTCTCAGCTTACGAACTTGACACCTTCTGAGAGAGGGAAAATCCTGGAGACACTTCTTTCCATTTTCTGAGGCTGCGTTAAATGCAACGCAGCCCAACCTGCTCAGCCTTTGTCTCCTCCTCTCCGTGGCGTCTTCACGGTGCTGTTTTATTCCTGATCTGGCCGTGTACATAGCAGGTTGGGAGGTCCCAGAAGTGGCCTGTGCCCCTCGGTGGGGACCCGGCGGTGATCAGAGACCCTGCCTGCAAGTCAGGGTCTGGGCATTGACCAGTCAATGAGTAAACCAAGCAGCCCTCACCGGTGCACAGCACTTTATAGGTAACAGTTTCCACTCACACGGCGCCCTTAAGGATGGAGACCTCTGTTTAAGATAAACAGAACGTCTTGTGTCTCCCATTAGAGTCAGTCGTTTGCTTCATGTTTATTGAAAGAGAAAAATGCACCAAGAAAGGCATTTTTAAATGGCTTTGTAATTTATTAATCCCATCGTCATCAACAACAATATATATATATTTGGAGAAAAAAAATCATAGGCGATCCGTGTATGATGCAATGCCGTGTTTTCCGTCTCTTGAGCAAGGCTGGGTGTGCCCGTGAATTCACAGACCGCTGACAATACCGTCTCAGTCCCACAAGGGGTCGCCGTTGATCTCGTTTGTAGAGTCTCCCCGGTAGCCCTGCAGGGACGGTGTCAGCAGGGGCGCAGGTGGAACGGAGCTGGGGCGCCTGGCAGGACAAGCCGGTCGCCTCGCCCCTGCGACTATCACCTGCGTTTGTCCCTGACCCCCCCCCCCCCGCCCACACACACACCGAGCAGGTTAAGGTCCTGGGCTGGGAGGGGCGACGGCTTCTGTGGGTCCTCCGCTCCTAAGTTACCTGCCGGGGGAGTAAGTGTGTGCCTGCGTGGTTGATGGGAAGGGGCAGGGGAAACCCGCGCGTGGCCGAATGTTCGTGTAGGAGAATAAATATTAACCCCCTCAGCTCTTCTCAGGCCTGCGCGTGTACTCAGGAGGTATAAGGAGGACCAGGGATCACATCCCTGGTGGGAAAAGTCCTGACTCTGGAGTGAGTCAGACCTCAGTTCCGGCTCCAGCCTGACCACTTAGATCTGTGATCTTGGCCAAGTCCGTCACTCCTATGCGAGACCCCTGTAAAGTGGGGACGATACGCATTCCCACATAGACTTGTTGGAAGGATTAAGGGATAATCTGTGTGATGTACTTCATAAAGTGTCAATGTATGATGCCCAGAACTCCAACTCTCAGTTCCCTGAGATAATCAGAGCCTCAGGCTACGGAGCGTGCAACAAGGAGAAATCCCAAGCCATGAAAGTAGCCGATCTGCCCGGATCCTGAAGAAGTCACCCTCCAACGGACACAGATCCCCAGATGTCCTTGGTATTGCATGCTGACAGAGGAGAGGCAGGCTAGGAGAGGCGCCTGCTTCCCAGGGTCCAAGGTCATGGCAGAGACCTGGCTACGGGACTGGCTGGATCAGTGGTTCATGGTTCCCATCCATTTGTTGATGTCTCCATTTGTTCATCCAACCTTCTTTGGAGTGGCTACAACGTACCAGGTGCTGTACCAGGCTGTAGGCATATAGCAATGAGCAAAACCAACATGGTGCCTGCAGCTGGGGAGGAGCTGAGGGTCTGCAGAAAGAAGCTCTAGATTTGACCCTCTCCATTTTCTCATTAGCCACTTCTGAGTTGAAGAACAAAAGTAAGACTGATTTGTTGCAATAGTTTATTTTTTTTTCTCAAGGCACAGTAGAATGAAACAAAAATGCTTTCCATCACAATGCTTTAAATATAAAAGTGATGCAAAATTGGAGTTAGCCTTTGTTATAAAGCAGAAACTGACACACCATTGTAAAGCAATTATACTCCAATAAAGATGTTAAAAAAAATGGAGTTAGCTTAAATGAGAAACAGAAGGAAAACATTCTCCTGGTGGAGGTGGGGTGAGGGAAAATCTTGCCGTGTCATTCACACGCATCTCATGTACACTCTTCCTGGGGATTCTTGCGTTTTCTGGCTGACAAAGATGTGATACTACTTCTAACAGGATTTTACTCACCAACACATTCATCTGTTCAACAAATGATTGTGGGTCACCAGTGACATATAGTGCCCAGCACTGGGTGTGAGTAGTACGAGGGAGTTAGTCACATTCCCTGCTCTCTACGGACTCTCTGTCTTGTACAGTAGAGCAGGTAGACACATGCCCTGACACTGTAGGACACGGCATGTGAGGGGCAAGGGGCAAGCAGAGAAAATTGAGGATGGGGAAACCGCTCCTGGCTGGGGGACCCTGGGCTTCCTTCCTAGCAGAGGTGGCATTTGATTTGGACCTTGAAGAAAAGGTAGAATTCTACTGCTTGGGTAATGGAGGGAGGGGATCCCACAGAGGAACCCCCGAGCCAGGAAAATGCAAAGCAAGGTGAAAGGACATTGAGGAATCCAACAGAGCACTGCAGAAGTGCACAGAAGGGGCAGAGGTTTTGAAAAAGCTGGCTGGGGCCAGGTCAAGAGCCTTGCATGCCAGGCCGAAGACTTGGAATGTTATTCCTCAGGCACTGGGGATCCATTGAAAGTTTCTGAGCCTCGGGAGTGATAAGACCAGAGCAAAATTAAGAAAGTAACGTAGGGTAGTGTTTAGAGTGAATTGAAAGTGGAAGAGGGGAGAATGAGGAAAATTGGTTGGTTAAGAAGTTATTATAGGGACTTCCCAGGTTCGATCCCTGGCCAGGGAACTAAGATCCCACATGCTGTGCGGTGTGGCCAAAAAAAAAAAAAAGAAGGTATTATAGTCATCTGAGGATGCTTGAAGGGAGATTATGACGGAGAAAAAGTGAGCACATTCAAAAGATGTGGTACAGGAAGAACCTCAGGATGTGGCAGCTATGGACAAGCTGTGGAAAGTGAGGGAAAAGGTATAAAGGATGACTCAGGGCTCTGAGCCTGATGGACTGGTAGGATGATAGACATGGAGAGATACCAAGGAAAAAGGGAAGTGATAAAGTATGTCTGAGCATCTCGAGTCCCTAATCTCTTAATGCTGAAAACGGGAACATTCCAAGGAGAAAAGAGGTGGGAATATGGCCATTGGTTATGCTTTGGTAGTTTGTGCATTGGGCGGGCAGTTTACTGTACAACCCCAGGAGGCGCTGTTCTATTAGTCGGGGTGGGAACAGTGCTCGCTGGAGCTGGGCAGCCCGCTGGCCTTTGTGGGTAGATCCTTCAGCGAGAAGAAATCACATGCTGTTTGAGCTCTTGCTTCTGGCTGGCTGTGACTTATGGTGTTCTGTCTCCTGTTGCAGTTATCGCCTGTGTGACCCTTCTGAGCGAAAGTTATATGGAAAATCACCTCTCTTTGGACAGTATTTTGTTCTGGAAAACCCAGGGACCATCCAAGTGGGAGACCCTGTGTACCTGCTCGGCCAGGAATAAGAATCATATGTCCTGGAATAGCAGATGTCTTTAAAAAACGTCCTCAAATATGCCAACACTTGAAGCACTGTATTTTGGACCTGACACCTCGGCATTTTCTTTAGCTCTGTGATCACCAAGTTTTTCGTCTTTTGGACTCTTCCTTGTGTCTCAGTGCTTCCCGCATCCCAGTGCACAAAGTGAAGAAAGAGAGTTTTGATAACTTAATAGGACTTCAGTAAGTCACTTAAATGACAAGGCAGGATTCTAAAAATCGCTTGTATAACTGTGATTGTGGAATCATTCTTTCTTCTTCTTCTCCATTCACCTACCCAGAGGGCTAACTTCCATCATCTCATTGCTATTCTTTAGGGAAAGAGGAGAGAAGAGAAAGAGTAAGAGTGGGGGAGTGAGCAGAATGTTCTGGAATCTTTTAGTACCCCATGCCCACGGCATGCAATGGAAATTAAATAGCTCTCCAGATAAGGCTGGACTGTCACTTCACTTTTCTCCTCAAGCCCTAGACAAGCTTTTAAAAGGGCATAAGGAGCCTGACCTTCAGGAAACACTTAGGATGTTCATTTTCCATAGATCATCTCAGACAGTGTCCATGAGGATTTGATGGACCTTCATAGCATGCATGCAGTACCTCTGGGCTGTAGGACAGCAGAGATGTCAGGGTAGAAAATCAACTCATGAGAGCAGCGTTGCATTCAGACTCTGATATGTAATATGTGGAAAGCAAGACCAAAACTTCCTTGCCTTGAAACGGAGTATCAAATATATCCCATTGGTGAGCCCAGACTTTTCCCAGTACATGAGAGTGAACAGTAGCACTAAGTAGGGGAAACACCCTTGCCTGATGTGGTCTGAGATGCTGTTTGATGTTGCCCAGGGAAACCATGGTGCCCGTCTTAAGAGCAAAAAGAAATAGTCTGAAAAGGACATAATGCCACCTAGTGGCATTGAATGACAGCTCAGCCTTTCTCAGCTTTTCAGCTGTTGGAAAGAGGGAAACTTGTGGATGGGTTTTAGTTTTCTAGCCTAGAAAAATTTTTTGAAAGAAAGTGGGGTACCTTCCAGGTACTCTCTGTTTCTCTGCTGTGGGCATTTGGTTCTAAAAGCATGGCTGTGCTGTCACGGGTCCTTCTGGATCTCGCTGGTCCCATCAACTCAAGACTGGTTACTCCTCCTCAAAATCAGGGTGAAAAAGTTCTGAAGTCCATGGATGAGAAGAAACGTGATTGTGTGATTTGAAATAAATGGCTTTATTTTAGGTTTTGAATAAAACCTTTCAAAGGTGAAAAAGAAAACATATGCCAATTCACTTAAAAACCCATATCTGATTTTTCTCCTGATCAGATTATATAACTCTAAGATCTGAGGAAGTATATCTTTCGTTGCCATTTTGCCCTTTGACTGTATTAGGAAGCTAAGTCATGAAAAATGTGTTTCAAAACTGTAAATAAATGGAAGCTACTTTGACTAGTTTCAGATTGTACTCACTTCTTGGCAGGAAGTCAGACTTTGAAAGCTGACCGATGTGAATGGGCAAAACCAATCACCCTGTCACCTGACACACACACAGAGCATCCTCCGGAGAACGCCTGTCTTTGAAGGGCTGTCAGGTAAACATGCTTTTTACCAAAAGCTGTGCATGTTTCACTTTGGTTTTATAAAAGAGGTTAGTAATCATTGGAACCAAGCCTAGCTCTGAGGTAAAGTTACAAGGTAACAGGTGCACATATGTAGTCTGGTTGGTGAATGTATCGCAATTTGTTTTTCACACACTTGGCGTGAAGTGCAATTAGAATAATTAATCAGTTAACCTTGGCCCATCACCTTCCCCAGTAGATCCACTTTATGCTGAAACTACAGATAGGTTAAGGCAAAAATAAGAGTTCAGCAAGTGGCATTACTAATGGGACCCCGTGAACCCATGGCAGAATGCACACAGGATTTAGGAAACCACGTGAATGTCGGTTCTCTGAGAGCAGCCAACAGTTAGGCACTGATGGGAAACTCAAGGTTGGTTCGGTGAATATCCCGAGATATTTATAACCAGTGGCAAGCTGAACGCCTTCGACCTGAACTTCTAACCCCTTGTCAATAGTAACAGCCACTTCCCCAGGGACTCAATCTGTTTCAAAGGCCACACACTCACGCAGACCCTGTCCTTCCGTGTACTGCAGGGGAGTCCTCCAGTGGAAGGGGGCTCTAACCCTAACACCTCCCTCATTTGTCTGGAGTCTCCTTCTGCTACTCAGAGTGTGAGGAAGATTCCAGTTTAAAGACAGAGGTTCCAATGACCTCTAGAATCTCGGGGTAGTTGCCAAGCTTTCTGTCAGTGAGATTTAAAAGCCATTTACTTGTGTTTATTTTATATTTAATGAGTTGGTTAATGCCAAAGGCAGGGCTGATGTCTGGTTTACTTTGGATACTGAACCTCTGCACACACTTCCACTTGAAATATCAGGTCGGGAATGTAGACCATCGCAGACCCTCAGAAAGGTCTCCTTATAGCTGCAGACGATGGACATTCAGGGTCAGGCCAAAACATCCACCGTCGTCGTGCGTTTCATTCTGGGTGGCAACGTCTCGGTGCAGTCACGGCAGACAGTTACAAACCCACAGCTGGAGATCTTGCAAAGAACCACGTGGGAAAGAGCCTAGGCAGACTGCTTAAAGGCTCACTTTCCCAGCTGTTCCCCAGAAAAAGTGAGAACGTCCCAAATGGGAGAGGGAAGCAGCAACTTACACACAAGGGCGGGAAGACGTCGGGGTGAGCCTGATGGAAATTAGGCAGCTGTCCAACAATGAGAAACACTCCTCGTCTCCTTCTGCCCTTAGTGATAACGGGGTGCGGAGATGCCCTTGGGGGAGGGCTGCCAGTTTGCTAGAACTGTGTGCAGAGGCCAGGCGAGTTTGACTAGCCAAGCGTGACTTTGAAAAGCCACCTATGAGGCTGTCACCAACAGTGACCGCAGGCAGGTGCCCCCAGAACTCTGAGAGTGTGACAAGTGCAAGCAATCCGTGGTGGCCGAGAGCAGGTATTTTAGAGTCACTCAAAGATGCCAGAGTGGCTCTCAGACCTGTGGATAACATAACACTGCACTTCCCTAAGTTTTACTGGTCCAGGGTGTTCTGAAAGTCTGCCTGCAAGGATGCTCCTAAAAAAAGAATTCCGTGGACCAATACCTTTGGGAAGTCCTGCATGCCTCACTCCTCTTCCAAAGGCCCAGCAGCCTGTAGAAGGCTCTAGATTGACCTGCAGTGAAGAATTCTATTTGTGTTTAACACGGCCCTCCCCAAAGGTCTAGCCATCTTTTGGGAAGCCCTGCATTGATCTCTAGGGGAAGCACCAGCCAGGGGTGAGCGGTCGTGCTTAGCGGGGGAG